ATGTATGTATGTATAGTTATATTATATTATATATATATATATATATATATATATATATATATATATATATATATATATATATATATATTATGTGTGTGTGTGTGTGTGCGCACGCGTGTGTGTGTGTATATATATATATATATATATATATATATATATATATATATATATATATATACATATATGCATGTATGTATAGTTATATTATATATATATATATATATATATATATATATATATATATATATATATATATATATATATATATATATTATGTGTGTGTGCGCGTGTGTGTGCGCGTGTGCCTAAAAGGTCTGTTCTCAGTCACAGGTTCTTCAGCGTTGCAAGAGAGACCAGTTCCAGAGATGCTTTATAAAAATGATTGCCAGGTTGTGGAATGACTTGTCGAATTATGTGGTCGAACGTTTTTTTCAGTTTAAAGACCGGGACATGTGTGTTTTTATTTTACATTCTTCTTTTTTTTGTATCTACCCTGCTCTCTACCGCCTTGATGACGGGGGGAGGTGAGAATAAACAAGAATAGGGATATAGTATCTGGCTGGTCATAGAAAGAATGAGCACTGTCTTAGGAAATGGGCTGTGGAGGGCAAAACGACGTTAAAACCCTTATCCCCAAGTTGCAGAAGCTTTCAGGTCAGCAAACAAACCCAATTCAGAATCAGGCAAGAACCCTTATGGCATGAAAGGAAGAGGTAGAGGAACAGAAAGTGCTATACCAGGCCCATCTCTGGCACCGATCTGTAATCGAGAAAAAACAACAACATCTGGAACCGAGATTCTGACTACTGAATACCGAAAGGAATTGTACATTTAGAGAGAGAGAAATATAGGATGAAGAATTAACACCAGATGGCAAAAACAGGAAGATAGGAAATAGCTAATACCAAGCGTGCAAAGGAAACCGGGCGTTGGGACAGATGGGATGGAGGAAGGAGAAAGGTGAATGGAGAACGAAATTTGAAGGCGAGAGTCGAATAGTATGTGACAGAGATCAAAGGGTGATCTATGGATATTTTGCAGGATAATCGTAGAAAAAGTCAAAATATCAAAATTTATGTTGGGAAAAAATGAAACGCGCGCTCACGCGCAATCACACACACACGATCTTATTGGAAAATGACGGCTAACACCAAAAATGAAGAACCTGACCTAGCCATCCGATAGAACGTAACATTCTAAGAAACTTTTTGTCTATACATTTCCCTCGCAAACTGATTAGAAGGGCAGTAGAGAGGATGTAAAACTCAAAATTTCCAGGCGCTTTAAGACAGCGGCGAGATACAATGAGGCGAAATCGAGGCGACGAAACAACCGGACGGAATTGGCTTAAACGAGGGAAATCCAATCCAATGGCAATTGCACTTGGAAGTCACGTGGCAATAGACACTAGCGACCAGTCTATTCGAGCTAATAAGATTTTTTAATAGATAATCACGTGACAACAGAAGCTGGACCCAAGAGAAGTCAGTTGAAGTCCAAATCAGTTCCGTCAAGGGTAGTCCGTGTAGAAGGTGCTGCTTCGCCTTTCACATGAAAAATATCATGGTAATGACGAAAAAGAGTGGCGGTGACGACTAAGATTTTGACGACTCGCAGGCTGGCCATTGCGGATAAATTGGTAAGAAATTATAATCCACGCATTTGTCTGGGCCTATTACAGATTTTGCAGAACGGCGGTGGAATGTGTCTCGCAATAATTAAATTACAGAGCTTTCGGCATCGTAGCTGTGCTTTGTTTGCGGCGAGAAGATTCGTTTGAAACACGATGAGTGCTTTCAAAAAAAAAAAAAAAAAAAAAAAAAAAAAAACTGTTTTCACCTGGAAATCAGCGTCATTTCCAGATTTACCACACATACACGTACATAAATATACATATATATATATATATATACAAACACACACGTGCGTGTGTGTGTGCACATAGATAAATAGATAAGATTGATTGTTAGTGCCGGGCAAAGTACGAGTTTCAAGTAATCTCGGGTATGGGTACCCGACTTGTCCTACCTGAGATACCAGGGTAATTTTCCTGATACACGACAGACATTACCTGCTAGCGCGAGAGTAGTTTCATTAATGATTGCTTACCAGTACTCATATTCGAACTTTAGACCCTGAATATTTGCCTTAGAATATTATAGAAAATACTCGACAATCAATATATTGTCCCGGGTACCCGTCTGGATACTCAGTACTCAACTACCCGGGTACCGCCTGTCGCTATTGCCTGTATAGAATATATAGACAGAGAGATAGACATATTCATAGCTATAGATGCTTATCCTCCTAACAAATAAAGGAAGTGAAAGAGAGAAAAAGCTGAAATCAAAATATACAGATAACATATGGATGGGTAAGAAAACTAAACAAAATATGAATTAAGAAATAGACATAACCGTAACATGAACGTTGTTATTACATAAATTAATTGTTTTTTATGTACTTTTTTATTTGTTAACAAAATAGCAAGGTAAGAAATTTACATAAGATAAATATAGGGAAAAAATATGTTCTATGTTTTTTGTTATGTTTGGTTTACTTGACTTTGAAAGTAAAATAACTCTATCTCGAAAACAAATGACTTCACTCTTTAAAATAGACAATAAAGCCAGATCGCACACGTGTAGAAGAACAGAACACGTGTCAAACATGTTCCAAATCACATCTCGAACGCCCATATGCTACGGACCTTCTTGTCTCGGATTCGAAGCTTCATTCACGACGCGCTACGTTCGTGCTCGACTGTACGCATTATCAGAGCGATTTGCCACTTTTTATTCCTGCTTTTTAGTTTATTATTACTATTATTACTATTATTTTTATCATTATTATTATTATTATCATTATTATTATTATTATTTCTACTATTATTATGAAGATTATTATATTATCATTAGTATTATTATAATTACTATCGTTATCATCATCATTATCATCTTTATTACTAATATCATCATCATCATTGTCATTTTTATCATTATTATTACCATTGCTAATATATCTAAGGACCGGGAGAACCTTAAATTCAGATGGAAGCGACCGGATGGTAGATACTGTCCGATAGATGGTAAATATGGTCCGATTAATTGTAGATACAGGTTTAGTAGATGGTAGATACTTTCCAATAGATAGTAGATACGGTCCAATAGATGGTAGATGCTTTCCAATAGATAGTAGATACGGTCCAATAGATGGTAGATGCTTTCCGATAGAGAGTATATACGGTCTGATAGATGGCAGATGCTTTCCGATAGATGGTAGATACTTTCCGATAGATGGTAGATACGGTCCGATAGATGATAGATGCTTTCCGATAGATGGTAGATACTTTCCGATAGATGGCAGATGCTTTCCGATAGATGGTAGATACGGTCCGATAGATGGCAGATGCTTTCCGATAGATGGTAGATACGGTCCGATAGATGGTAGATACGGTCCGATAGATGGCAGATGCTTTCCGATAGATGGTAGATACTTTCCGATAGATGGCAGATGCTTTCCGATAGATGGTAGATACGGTCCGATAGATGGCAGATGCTTTCCGATAGATGGTAGATACTTTCCGATAGATGGCAGATGCTTTCCGATAGATGGTAGATACGGTCCGATAGATGGCAGATGCTTTCCGATAGATGGTAGATACGGTCCGATAGATGGTAGATACGGTCCGATAGATGGTAGATACGGTCCGATAGATGGTAGATACGGACTAATAGATGGTAGATACGGACTAATAGATGGTAGATACGGTCTGATAAATGGTAGATACGAGTGATGAGAAGGGAAGTGTGAGTGTATGGTTACCTACGTAGTCAGTGGTTTGTAAACGAATATTGTATTGAGTAATATTTATCATAATGTTATGATATATTCATTATATTATTTTATACGTTATATCATATATAGTAATATTACAAGGAATTATATAATTGTTCACTGTTTTTATCTGTTTTTTGGTATATACTCTAGTCTAAATATTCTCAAAAGCCGTAAATTCTAGCATACGGTAAGACGTAATAGATAAATATTGACTTATCTTGAATTCAATTAATACATTATTTCATATTTACCACTAAAAGTAATGATACTCTGAAGCCGACTATATTACTTGAGTTTATGCTCTTCAGGGGAACTTTCTGTAGGGAAAAAAAGTAAGTCCGTTTTCCTCAAGTAATTTTAAGGTAAACGCGAACAAACTTCGTATCGTGAAATAAATGTTCGAATTAGGTCTTATTTATAGAGGACGTGAATCTTTTTATGGTGAAGGATATCGTATGAATGTAAGATAATCTGTTTATCTTTATGCATATTGATACATATAATTTCGTCGGGAACATAATGTCTTTGTGTTTTAATAAAATGTACCAGTTTTCAGCTTATTTATGATAAAGATATATACCCCATGATGATAGTAAATGCATTATAAATTAATATATGCCATCCACGAATTTTCGAGTACCCGTAATAGTAATAGTAGAGTAAGATGTCATCCTTTGAGGTCTCCATTATTTAAACGGAATAAAATGCACCGCCAAGCACATGGCCGTACGTATGATTTCATTTTTATTCGACTTCTTATCATATCGCTTTTGCTACTGGTTCGAAATAAAACACTTTTGATTGTGTATTTTTTCACGGGTATGGAATTTATTGGAATTATAATGTTATCCTTCTTTAAATACCGTTTTGGTTGCAAGGATAGCTAATATTACTGACTGAGAATTAACACCTGACCGAAAATTAATGAAACACCGTAAACAATCACTCTATCTCTCGGAGTATGGACGCTAGAAATTATCGATCAGTTCGCTAGGATCCGTCGGTAGATGGCGCGCGCGAGAGGGATTCGAGAGCCTATAAGGAATCCAACACTAACTTTCCGCACTCATTGTCGATCCGAATCCCACTTTGTAGTCGGTGATGCCGTTATACCGTTGCGTTTTCGTCACATTCCTCGGTATGTGCCCGGAGACGGTCGGAGTTTGACAGGTGTTCCGGACTCTGTAAATACCTCATTCAGTTGTCCATTCCCTTTGGTTTGGAAGTGACGGACGTGATACCTCTCCCGTGCAAATTATCCATTTGACGGGTTTAAGGTACTATGAGTGTATTAACTGCTGATTTAAGTAAAAAGAAGGGAGTCATGAGGACGGTAAAATCAAGAAAGGATGTCAATTCCTACGATATGG